CTTTAAATTTCTTAATTCAAAACTTTTACACCCCCCTCCCAAAAAAAAAGAAAAAAGAAAATATCGATAAAGTCGAAATGTATGCATTAGTTTTCTGCAAGCTCGATGGTTAAAATTCTCTAAAAAACGGGATCGACATATTAATACCCGAGTGTGCCAACCAAATGAGAATGCGACATGAGTCGTAGCTTAATCAAGTGAGGCCAACTCACCTAAGACATCTTGGCAAATTACAACTAAATATATAACTGATATCACAAGGAGTTGTAATTGGCAAGCATGCTAATGTCACTTTACTATCAACTAACAATTAGTAGTTAATCATTACGCTCATATATAAGGACAAAGAGATAAGTCCATTATCTCTATCATATTAAAATTCTACTAAACTCCAGACTTAAACTCAAGACTCAAAGTTGATTGGAGGGTTAAAATGTATTTCAAAAATGTATGTAGACTCAGATGATTCAATTGGTAAAGATATGAGATCTAGTGGTATCACTTATCAGTTCAAACTTTTGGTTGAACTTAATACTAAATTGTTTTTATGTATCAAGTCCAAGCTTTGAGCAAGCACGAGTGCCTCCAATTATAAGAGCAAAAAGCTAAAAGCAAGAGCTATTGATTTCGGGTTGTTAAAAAGAAACACACGCTACATCTAAAAGTCCAATTTTATTCTATAATTTTGATTTACACATCAATTCTCTGCGCACTATCGGATACTATTGATCAAGATTAATTAATCACTTCAGAAAGAAATTATAACATTTAAAAGAATACATTTAAATTTCAAATAATAATAATAATAATTGTTAATCAAACCTAATTAACTCTTTTCTAGATGGACAGTTGTAACTTCCACTGGATAGCTTGGGGGAAACTAAAATGATCCATTATGTTTGCTTGTAAACAAAAATTCTCTAAAATTACAAGTTACATAGATGAAAAACAAAGATCAAAATACCAATATTACCTTAGGCTCACAAGTACCTGACGGGCTCGATCACGTGAAGTCAGTAATGCTTGCCACAATTTGGCAGCACGTTCTCGACTCGAGCTGTATCCAGTCGTAGCATCATGTCACATGGGTTCAGTTCATACATCATAATTCCACAATCAAATAAAATGAATCAAGAGAGGGTGGAGTGGGGGTGTTAGCTTGCGCATAAAAGACTAGAGCAGCAGCAGGTTTTGAACAGAACTACACATCTATATATACCTTAGAAATTATGGCAAAAACTAAGTTATGAACAATTGATCAAACTTCCTATACCATGGATGAAGCCGATAGGGCCGATCGAACTTTCTACGCCATGGACGAAGATGCTATGGCCCCAGAGAGATGGCTCTCTCACCTTTTGATCTATGCGTTTTTCATCCTGGAAAAAAACTGTCTAATACTCTGGAGAAGTTATGGGCTCCACCAAGTTTCTCCTTTCCAATAATCCCTGACTACTTCTCCATTCCAAATCATGATGAATGCCTCCAGCTTCGTTCTTTTTTTCAGTGAAAGGTTTCTCGCAAATACAGGAGTCAGGAAATTCATGAAATTCTTTACCGCGTTTCAAGTCATCGGGCTCACCCATGAACCCTCGCTGGCAAGACTTCACCTTTCTGGCGAATGTATCCCAATCCATCTCGTTCTTCTCCATGAACAAAGCACTGAGTCTTTTTGCATTTGGCCTAATGGTCCTTTTATGACCTGAATACCTCCTAAAATACACAAATCATGGAACAATGTTAGGAAGGCAAGACAAAATTTATACAAAAGAACTTTAAACTTCCTATCTATTGATGTTTCAAAAAGCATTTAAGGCAGGTCCCAGGCTTACAAATTCTTTGGCTCATGAGAGGCTTGTGCCTGCATGAAAATGCCCAAAGACTTGAGGTCTTTACGCCCCGTGTAAATAACATATTAATTTTTGGCCTATTCTCCAAAAATGTAAAAGTTCACTTATACATGATTGAGAAAGACTTTAAAAGTCTTTTAGGATGACAATGCATAGAAGTGAGTTATTTTCTCTCTATTTTTATATAATAATTATTATCAATTATTATCAATATTTTTTATATTGTCTCAACACTTTATGTCTCACACTTATGGAGAAAACGCCTCAAAAAGGAACTACAGCCTTTTAAAACACTGGTTGTGCTATATTGAACAATTCTCAATAAAAGTTCAAGAAAAAATACAAAAAAGCTATATTGTGAAAAATTAAGGGGTGTTGGGAGCTCTAGAACAAAAGTTCAACAAAAACATATTTGGATAACTATTTTCTAAAAGTTCTTTTCCATTTTTAGTTTTTTTATTTCTTTTTACCGATGGCTGTTTTTTAGAACAAGAGTTGTCCTTTCTAGGGGTTTATAAATAGTAATTTCGAGTATACAATAATTGTCAAGCTACCTACCCTAATATAATGCTTAAAAACAAAAACAGAAAACTACTTTGAAAACTCTATCCCAAACAAGCCCTTAATCTTTACAGTCCGGGAATCAGTTTGCATATGAATCTTCTCATTTAACAGCAACCCAAGGAACATATAGAGCTTATAATAAGAGGTCAGGGAGGAGAGTTCCAAGATTTGGATGTCAATAAGTACAAATTTATCCTCATGCAGAGCACAGAGGCCCATCAGGAAGATGAAAAAAGACAGCCTTTTTTTTAACTCTACACTAATGATCTCATTCTTGATAATGATGCAGCAACAAATATAGAAAAGAAATGAGATTTGTACCTCTCGCCAGCAAGAATCTTTGCCATGTTTCCATTATTATTGGTGACAAATACGTTACTCTCATTGCATACAATGTAGTCGATGGCAGCAAGACGGGAAGAGTATGGAAGAAAGGGTTTCAGCTCTGCCTCAGCAAGCATCTCCTTGGTATAGAAATTTGGAAAAAGTTCTCTAAGAGGGTTCAGAGTTTCCTCTCCACCATAGATTTCACCAGACGCAACATAAATATAACTGTCATTTTTAAAACCAAGTGCTCGTAGCATCAGACCCACTTCATAGGGAGTAAGTGGGCATTTCCCTCTCTTCCTTTCTTCCTCTTCACTTACATCCTGTAAAACAATGATGAAATTATTTATTTTATTCACAACACATGCATGTCCAAATATGCAGAGTTTATGAAGAAGCAATACTTAAGTAAGTTTTTAAAATCAATAGGTAATATTAAAAGATAAATTTGAAACCCAAAAACAGGTGGAATACTACTTACAGGTAGTGTTGTCCATCGCTTTCTTATTTCACCCAGTTCACGCCTTTCCTTTTCACCTCCACCATAGTAACATCCGGAGAAGGCTAGCATATCAGGCTCAAACCTACATAAAAACAATCGATACATTTACAAAGAAATAAAAACTTATACTAACAGAAATGTATCTATTAGTTAATCTACATGCTGCACATGTAAGAGTGTTTATGGACATCCACAGAATCATAAGTATTTAAAGTGTCACCAATTAATTTTTTTAAGCGAAACCAAGTTTTAAAAAAATACAAGGACATACAAAAAAAAATAGATCAACAAAAGGAGCCACAACAAGCTCTAAGCTACCCTTATCAGAAAGAGCTTCAATCTAAAAGAATAAGATAACTAATAATTTTAAAAAAAAATCCTCAGAAACTGAAGCCCACACAAACCTAACAAGAGACCAAATATATTCTCAATCCTCTCGACCCCTCTAAAAATTCTATTATTTCTCTCCATCCAAATACTCTAGAAAGATAACAAAACCTCCTCATTATAGAACTAATGTCTTTGTTACATGCCACGAAACGACTTCAAAAAAAGGTCCTAAATCTTCTGAGCAAACTAGTATATGAATAATATCTTCAGAGGTAGAATTAGAATATGGTGGTTAGATCTACATGGCTCAACAACATTTGAATTTGATTTGGTAGGATTCCCATTGAAAAATTTTTCTTCCTCAATTTTTGCCAATTTCCCAGCTACGGGAGCAAGTCTTCCTCTGATTGCCTGTTCAGGCTTCTGCTGAAATGAGGATGCTTTCTTGGGAGCATGTGTTAGAGGAAAGAAAATTCTCTTGTTTCTCTCAATCCAATTACCCTATAAAGATAACAAAAAAAAGGCTTGACAAGGAACTTTGTTGATATCTCAAAAGGGAGGATGCATCAAAACCTCCTCCATCATAGAACTAATGTCTTTGTTACATGCCAAACAAAAACCGAACAACTTCCAAAAAAGGTCCTAAATCGTTTGAGCAAGCTTGCAACTCCAAAGTATATGAATAATATCTCCAGACACTCCTCTACACAAGATACACCATTGCACTCCCATCAAAAAGGAGGAATGCCTCTGACTATAATCCATAGTAATAACTTTTCATGCGAGCCCTGCCCAGCAAAGAATTTGACCTTCTTGAAGATCCTAACCTTCCAAATAAAAGAGAATGCAGGGGATCTAGGAGGGAAGGGTTACACAAAATACGAAAGAGAGAGCTCGGTGAAAACCCTCAAGGGTTGAGGGCCCAAAAACGAAGGTCCTTCTCCTCCTCTAACATGGAAGTCCCTTGACAAACCAAGAAGAGTTGACACATCATTTGGCTCTCTATCTGACAAAGACCAACAGAAACCCAAGACAATTTTGGGGGAATTACTTGAATAAGGCAAAACAGAGGCCATATAATACAACCTTATACCCAAAAGATGATACAAATGAAGGAACAAAGGGAGAGATGATTACAAAAAAGAATGAGGACCCACAGGCGGGTTACAAAAAAGCTCTTCAATTTGTCAATAAGGAGGCAAAGCTATACGAGTGGAAGAGGGGGGAGGATTTACACCAAGTAATCACCAAAAAAACAATGGATTCAAAAGTGGCATGTGGTGAGCGCTCCAAAGCTTGGAAGATTCGACGGTTCCGTTCATTCCATGTAATCCAAAGAAAAGCCCGAATGAAGTGGATCCATAGGCTAGCTTTTTCTTTCTTGAATGGGTGGCCCACAAGAGTCAAAGCAAGCAGTTGAGACATATCGGTTGGGAGGGCAGCCGACCATCCAAATAGGGGTAAGAGTTAGTTCCAAAGAGCTGCTGTGTAGGGGCATGTGAGGAATACATGTCCGATGGACTTTGCTTGCAAAGAGGGTACCATTGTGGAGATAAGGCCATGTATGGCATGCGTCGCTGTAGTTTGTCATGAGTATTCAATGCTTGGTGGCTAGCTTCCCATAGGAAGAACTTAATCTTCTTTGGGTAGGATTCCTTCCATATTGCTCTATAAAGATCCAGTGGAGTAGATGATGTGTTGATGCTTTGGAGGTCTTTAATGAGGGAGCTGTAGTGAAGGATCCATGGGATTCCAATCTCCAAGCAATGGAGTCCCTGTTGAAAAGGGCAGCCAACTCAACAATCTCTGCATCCTTGAGTCCCTGTTCAAAGATGGTTGCTCGATGATGGCTTTTCAATCCACTTAATAAATGGAGTAGCCTAAATAGCTTTCCACAGATTCTTAAAAGTGCCCTCAGACTCCATGCAGAACTGCTACAGCCACTGTGACCCTATCTATTGCATTGTTGATCTAAGAATATGAACTCTTTCAAATTTGGTATCTTGTTTACGTTTTCTTGTTGTTGTTCTTATTTATAAGCTTCTTGTCTTTTCCGATAGACAATTAATTTCATTGCCAAAAAGAAGAATCAAATTATAACAAACAAAATCATTCCAAAACTAGCACTGTCAGAGGAAAATTAATTTCATTGAACATAATAAGTTTTTAAGACGAAAAGGAGAAAAGCCTCAACCTATTTCTCTCTGATGACTCAAAGAAAACTTAATGCATTAAGAAGTGCGGACACATAATTTGCACCAAGTAACAAAAGTGAGATTATCCAAAAATAAAAGACAAAAAAGCTTGAAGGATCTTCCTTCATCCTGGAAAACTCTTCTATTTCTCTCGAGTCAAGTGGCTCAAAGAAAAGCTGTAATGAATATGAATTGAGTCCAAAGTATGTTTTCTCCATTTTCAAAGGGTAACCACCACTGAATAGTGAATACAAGAGAAAAGAGTTTTGGATTCTCTAGGAAGGACTTCTAGTTAATTAAAGGAGAGGAAAACCTAGTCCCAAAGTTGAGCAGCAACAGAACAATAAACTGAAATCATGGAAAGTAAACCAGCAAGTGCTCCTATGGAGAATGATGTGAAGTTCAAAGATACAAGTACTGGGGACAAAAGTAAACATCAACAATTTGCCGGAAAGCTCATCAATTTAACTCAGACCGGATCCAACATTAGATTTATAGTAAGTAGAATAAGGCTAATCATGAAGGTTCCTACTTAAGAACAAATGTAGACTCTACAAAATAGTAATATATCTACAAAGAATTCAAAGTGAAGGACTCTACTTCAAGAACACAAAAAATGTAGAGATTTAGATTGAGACAGACTGGACAAAATTAACTCCTTAAAGATGTCCACTTTTCGATATTGCACATGGAAAATTTGGTCAAGTGGCAAAGAAAGAAGAAACAACTAGTTGTCCCTAGAAGCTGTGTAAAGGAAAAAGTAACACCGACGGGTCATGGAATTGTGAAGGAACGCAGATAAAAAATGTCCTTATTAAACTCACAAACCCTAATGAAGAGCAAATAAAAATATTTTGTGAAGATTAGACAACTGTAAGCACAGCAAAGAATCCAATGAAACATGATCGTACAAAACATGTGGAAATAAATAGGTACTTCCAATATTCTAAAAGGCTAAAGGTGGCCCCGCAAGGCGGTAAGAGGCATAAGCCTGAATTTGAGTTAAAAAAATTATACAAATCTAAAATTTGTGTAATTAAGTATTGCTAAATATAATAGTTATATAAAATTATTATAAACTCACTTATTAATTGCCACTTAAATAAAAATTCTAAAAGAGCATCCTTAATATCACTACTATTATTGCTAATATGATTGACTTATATTCTATAAATTTTTGTCTCCAATGTTTTTAAAGTCTAGGCAGTAAAAGTAGTAATAGATTGAATTGTTACAGCTCCTGCATTATCATTCCATACACAAAGAAACCTTCATATTTTTTAAAACTTGGTCAAATTAGTAATATTATTCTAATTATTACACGAGGCGTAAAGACTTTAAGCCTCAATGCATCTTCAAAGAGATGTAAGACTCTTATGATCCAAAGAAGGCGTAAGTCTCAGGGCTAAAAGTTAGAGTCTTGCCTCGAGGCATAAGCCTCCGAAGTCTTTTAAAACATTAGGTATTTCGTTGAACAGAAAACCATATCCTTCTTTGCATAATTTCATTATCAAACTAAATATCATGATACTCTTCCACGAGTTTATTAGGGAAGAATAGTCCACACTACTACAAATGAAGCTTTCATAGCCCCCATCCCTAGATAGGTAGATGCAAAAGGCGTGTAATATTACCCACTCATTAGCTTGACTCGGGCCATTTCAAAATTTGTGCAGAAGTCCGTGTATACTCGAGCTGTTTTGCTCGCTGAAAACTATAGCTAAATTCTAAGCTACTTTTCTTCCTAATAAGTTGAAGGAGGATTGGAGGAGGGAAAAATAGGTGAAATTATTAAGATTCGTTTGGAGGAGGCCTATAATGGTATAACCTATCTGAATAAATGAAGGATCCTTATTTCAATAGGTGGAAAATTAACTTAAGGTCAAGCAGTCTTGAGTAGTTTACCAAATTACAGATATTCTTGTTTAATAAGAAACAATTTCATTGATGGTATAAAATTACAAAAGATGGGGCAAATCCTGATCCAAAGAATTTACAAAAAACTTATTCAATAGGGCTTTCATTTGGATGGTTTGGAAAGAAAGGAACTCCATAATTTTTTAAGACATCGATCATTTGCCACAACAATTGATTGATTCCATTACCTTTCTGGCTTTATCTTGGTCTAAATGTGTAAATCCTTTTAATTGTTACAGTCTTAATTCCCTTATATCCAACTGGAGAAGTTTTTTTGTAACTTCATTTGGATAGGATTTTTGTATATTTCATGCTATCAATGAAATTTGTTTCCTATCCCAAAAAAAAAACAAAAAACTTATCCAATTGGATAACAGAGAAGGATAGACATAGTAGTGAAAAAGGGGAGAACATTTGCACCAAGTAACAAAAAAAACAAAAAAAAAAAGGACACTACAGCATCAAAAAACTGGTCAAAAGGAGCGCTCCTTTTTTAAGGGGTGATTTCCAGGGATGCTTTAGAGGAGAATCAGAGCATCATTTGGAAGAGCCATATGAATAGCAAAGGTTGTCAGAAAATGAGCCCAAGAATTTTCAACAAACTCACAGAAAATGAAGATGTGTTGTTGTGATTCTAGATTGCTCTTGCATAGTGAGAATCATTGCGGAGATATATCCAGGGCATCCTTAGTTGGAGTTTATCTTGGATGTTCATAGTTTTATGGTTAAGCCCCCAAGAAAGAATTTTATCTTTTTTGGGAGCCATACAATTGTGAGGCAACAACCAATCTTTCCATAGATAGATCCCTTATGAGAGAATTGTTGAGAACACACCACTTGTTTCAAGCTTCCAAAAGGGTGTCCCCGGGTGATTGATAAGATGAGCCGTGGAGAGATAACGTAGAAGCTCAGCGCATTCATCAATTTCCTCATCTTTTAAACTTTGTCTCAATTTGAGATTCCTTGAGATTCCAAACACCCGATTCGGCCTCCCAAAATTCACGAACGGCATCCTGTTCACTGAAAGATAAGTGAAAAAAGAAGAAGGATCTTTCGAGCTAAGGAATCATCCGACAGACAAACATCTTCCCAAAAGGAGATGTTTGCCACATCACCAATCTTGAGTGATATACAGTCAAAAATCAGATTCTGAAGCTTCAAGATTGATTTCCAAGGCCTTGAACTTGCCAGTATTATTTGTTTGTATTCAAGGCACCGACTGGCATAGCTAAATATATAACCAAGAAACTAAGAGAACCTTCTTGGAGGAAGTAGATCTTAAGGGGGTCGCCACCTAGTTTGATGGAGATGGCAAGAACCTGTTGCAGAGACTGGAGGTTTGAAGACATTGTAACAAGAAATATTGCCCTAATATATAAATGGTTGTGGAAGTATAATTGAAAAGAGAGCCACTCTCGGCATAGAGTGGTCACCAAGATCTCATAAGAGAGACTTTTGGAGGGACCTCTAAAATCAACTAATACTGCCAACAATAGTAGTCCGTGGAAACAGATCCTTGCTTTAAATGATCTAATGAAGAGCACGGTCTTTAAGGTAGGCCAAGGTACTGGAGTCTTATTTTGGATGGACTCTGGGTTAATGGATGTCCCCTCAGCTTAAAAATTTCCAATCTGTTCAGCATCGCCAAGCATAAGAAGCTGTGATAGGTCCAGACTAGAATAGTCACAATTAAGCTACTGGACTTTAGATCTCTGGACGAAACTTTTGGATCTGGAGGGTGGAAGATTGGCTAGAACTAATGGAGAATATTCATGGTTGCTCCTATACTACTAATGAAGATAGAAGAATTGACAAAGTCCAAAGTAGATTTCCTAATTGTTCCCTCCAACCAAGCTAGTACATCCTTCGTAATTACAAAAAGTGAGTGTTGATCCTATTTTGAGCTGCTTTTTGTCTTTCAACGTTTGGAGGAAACTGCCTCAAAGCTTCAACATGAATCTGTCCCTCCCCCACTTGTAGCAGCAAGGGATTACACTCTTTGCCATGCAGCTCCGTTATAAAAGAAAAAGCCAAGGTCTCAAGGTTCATTTGGCTCGAGTGGAAACAGCATTTTTCATGAGTTTGGAATTGGGAGGAAATATGAGCGCTATTGTTTTGATGCTTCCCTCTGGAGTTCTTTATCTACAGAATTTTGTTATCATTCCGCCTCCATTATTTTTTCCAATTGAAATGCCTTCTGTAATTCCTTGGAAGCTCTCTGTAAATTTCATTCCCGTAAACATTTAAAAAAAAAAGAACAAATTATTGTTTCTCATCCAAAAAAGGGTCTACAGAAAGATAGTTTGTTAATCCAGTTCAGGCCAACTATTCCTCAAAGATCAGTAATTATCACCTTCCGGAGATCCCATCATTTAAATAAAACAAAAGTGAAAAACATCAAAATTATTTATAATCACCATTATATATACAAAAATAAATTAAAACATCATGTGCCACAGAAGATGAGATTGTCCGAGTGATATAAGGATCATCAACCTTTAACAATTCACTTTCCATTTTCTCACAGTATCTGTAGTAAGTGCCAAGTTTTGTTTTGTTTTGCATTTTTTTAACTAGAAACAGAGATATTTCATAAATCAATGAAATATACAATCGAAAGGGAGGAGAGCGAACCCCAACCCCAAACCAAAAGAGGTTACAAGTAAAAAATTAGCCAAAATATCATTGAGAGAATAAGCAAGTGCCAAGTTCCTATGGTTGCTTAGTTTTAAGTTTGTGTTTAACTCAAGAGTATAAGGATTCTCTAGGGAAACACTTGGTAATTCCCCAATTGTAAAGAAAGCGATGGTTCTTGGGCATGCAAGGTCTTTGGGGGTATATTGTTAAGATGTAAGAGGAGTATTTTTAAGGAGAGGTCTTTGATTGTTTTGAATTAGCTAAGTTCTAAGCATCTCAATGGTGGCGTCATTTTAACCTCATGGGAAGCTTTTGTTCTTAGATAGTTCTATTGTGTTATTTCTTTTTCCAACTCCCCAGGAGTTCGTATCTTCTGAGCACTTTAGTAATGTTTCATTAATAAAAGTTTGTTTTTTGTTATAAAAATTAAAAATTAAAAAGAGGGAGGGGGAGTGATTTTTTTCCCCCGTTAAGTGGTCAAGCTTGCGTGTCCCTCAACGAGTGATGAAGATAACAGGGTCTTTAACATATAATCTACAGATTACCAGTACAATCAAGTTCGGACCAAGAACATTTTTTACCAGACAAGCGTATATGTTTCTGTTTCTTAATTAAAAAGAAAAAGGAAAATGAAAACATATAGAATAACTACCAGATGACTAGCACTGCAAATACAGGACAACAATACTATGGTACGGTCAAGTAGCAAACAAAATTCTGAATAAGGTAAATAAGAATAAACCTCAAGTGAATGGCAATGTAACGTTTTGCCATCTTTCTCATTCTCTTCACAAGTCTGTGACCAAGATCTTCTATAGGTTTTACAAATTTCAGGGCATGATAATTAGCTCGACAGCGCAACCTCTGTAGCTCTTCATCAAGCATATTTGAAAGCCTATAATCAAACTTTGTCAACTGGACAACCTGCAAATTTACATCAACAAAATTCCCCCTTTGGTAATGACATAAAACTGACATTTCAATATGGCATGAGATCATTAGTAACACAGATATTTATGTCCCCACAGTACAATTCCAATACTAGTTCTTCACAGTTGAAAGCATGGTGGTTTTATCAAATCTTGTGTATTCTAGAAAGAAATATCTTAAAGTGGTGTGCAAGAAATTATTTGTCTAAAAAAATGTATGAAACGATTAATTTCCAGAAAAAAAAAATTAAATAAACACTGAATGCATCAGCAAAATGTTGGTGAAATGGCCTTACACGTCTCCTTAAAAGTATAGGGAGAACTTGATCAAGATAGTATTCAGGCTCTGATTTTCTAGGGACGCGCATGGTATAGGGAGGTTTCTCCATTGAACGCATGACTTTATCAGGAACTCTTTCAACGATAGTCACATCTTTTGAGAGGGAGGAAATGAACCAACCAACATCAAAAATGTTGACAAAGTCACTGCACATACCAAGAAAGACTTGCATGAACAATTACTATCATAAGAAAATAGAAAAAACTAGGAAAAAGGTTAAAGCTACAATTCATGGGTCAATGATCTTTAAGTACCTATCATCCTTCCAATAGGAATGATGATCCAACTCAGGTACCACAAGTGTAGCATTAAGGATTCGGGCAACTGCCACAGCATCTGTTATCTAAGCAACAGAAACACATTTCACGCATTAATTTCAAAGATTATTAATAATTGGAAATTTTTAGGAAACAATTGATCCAAGAATCTTTTGGAACCTGATGTCAATGGTCAAAGATGACATAATCATGATAAGATAGAATTTATTTATGCATTAGATTTTCTACTCTACATTCTGACACAAAAATGTTACAAAAAAAAACATCACTTACTCCTGTTCTCTGCTGATTCAAGCCTCCACTGGTTGCAATAAGCAAGTAGCCATTTGATGACTTCTCATTAACAGCAGCTGGATTTCCAGTCATAGTATTAGGGGGAAAATGTCCATATCAAATTATAGACATCAATAGAATGAATCATGTAGGGATACAATGAGAAGTTTCAAGAGTGTTGACTTTGGCAGTTAAGCAGGACACCAATATTATATACTGACAGGATCCAACTGTCATCTGCTAACCAACTGACAACTAATTGTTAACAGCTAACAAACAACCGTACCATCGATCAAGGAGTCTAAATGCTCATATATTCCACTCAAAGGTACAATTTGAAAAATGCATCTCAAGCTAGGTGTTCCTTGTAAAGGTTATGCACAGCAATAGAATGATCCCAATTCTTTGTTGCACATGAAAAATGAATTACCAGGCAGTTAAGTAGTTGGAAAAACATTCAAGTAGAGAGGAAGGGAACATACGTGGTAAAAAGTAAACCTCCTACATGTTGAACAAATAATTATATATGCAAAAGAATAAAAACTCGGGTGGCATGAAGGTAGTCATACAAGAAAAGAAGACATTGGCGTCCCATCTAAGCTAGTATATTTATCTAACATCATATACTTTACTAGCACCCAAGGTAATAAGGAATGAGGAAATAATAAAGGTATCAAGCCAGCTCACCAAAATACCCAAAAGGTATTGAGGAAAAATATATCAACCATCGTATCATATATTTAACTGAATTTTTCTTTTTCAAGGGTGACCTATACCAAAAAAAGAAATAAATAAAAACAGAGAGAGAGAGAAGAAAGAACAATGACAACACCACCAATCTCAACAAGTCCCTGAGGAATTAACATCTATAGATGCCTCCCCAGTAGCCATGATTAATTAAATCCTCAACAACAAGCATCAATAGGAATTCAGCTTTCGCATTTGGCACCTCTTCTAGGAAACAAAATATTTTCAAATGTGATAGTGAAGAAGCAAAAAATTAAGACCACAAACAGGGAGACAGAATTTACAAGGACAGATTCCTCCAACCTGGAGGGTAGAAAATATTGTATTGAAATCCTAAGCAGATATTTCAAGAAAGCAATCTCTGGGAGCTTAGTTGAAAGGGTTTAAAGGGAGTGCATACCACCAACAGTAGGCTTCATTGTCAACTTCCCAAATTACACATCGAAATAGCATGGAAGTAAAAAATCACCAAAATGAATAAAAAAATAATTCAAAATAAAAACGCCCAATTAAAACAAGCGACGCCAAAATCCTCCTACAGAGAGCGATGGTAAGTGTATCAACTTACGAGCAAAACCTGGGCTTCTTTTGCTGCATCCATAATAGTTCTTCGAAAGCTTAGATTCCCAGATATTGATCGGCCTGCGACTTGCTCCATCCTAGAAATTCAGATCAACGATGAACTTTAACGAACCCGCTCTTCCGAAAAACATCCTTCGAGTAAAACCCACACAATTTCCCACGACAACACATTTAACGTGCAGAGATAAATAGAGTACAAATTACCAGACTGGAGTAGAGCCTCCTGTTAACTAAGTGCTGAGAGTACCATTCAAGATCAGAAGCGACATGGCCCGTGAACAAGGAAATTAAACCTAACGCAAATAGCATCACGCCACACAACACCGACCAGGAGAACGTCGTCTTCCTCTGCGTCGACGCTGATCTCGACAGTACATTCTTGTTACTAATGGCATAACTATTCCCACTATTCTGCGGCTGTAACAGAGCCAGGTTCGCTGATATCAAGCTAAACCTCCAAGATTTCGCCACTCCCATTCAACCCCAGCTCCCGCCTAATTACACGAGCATAATAACACCAATATCCATGGTCGAAATTCCCCTAAGGTCCCGTATTCCGAATGAAGAAAACGCAAAAGCCCGGTAGAGAATGCGAGAGAGAGAACAAAAAAACAACAATGCAAACAATTACAAGGCAAATGCGAACTCGGAAGTTGAAGCAGAAACCCTAGAAATCGTGATCGGGCAGTGGAGAGCGTGGTTTTGAATCGAATGAGCGCAGGGTGAAGAGTTCGTCGGAGGATGGAGAGAATCAGATTAGATTACATTACATTGCAGTGGTAGAAATGGGGAGAAGATTTGGATTTACAGAAGGAATTTAGAAGAAGATTGAAGAGAAAATGGGAGTGAAAATGGAGGAAAGAAAATGGGAATTAAGCGATCGATAACTGAAAATGGGAAGAAAGAGAAAGCTGAACTCCGGCTAATGAGGAAACCGAAGAAGATCACTCACCTGACGGCAGTCCATATTGCCGACGCCCTTCTGGGAATTTCCATATTTCTCCGAGGACAGAATCGACATTTCACTCTTCTCTTTTTTCTCGTTTTCTTTTTTTGGGTGTTTCGACAATATAGTCTAATCACTCCTTATAAGAAATAAATAATTGTTAAATTACAATAATAATATCATTACCTTTTTTTTTTACTGTCACAGTAGCGTTTTCTGTTTTTTTTTTAATACAATAAGACGTTTTAATCAGTTAAGCTAAGTTTAAGTTCGCAAAAATAATTTTTAGTTGGTCTCATAGGATTGTATAAGTTCGTAATTAAGTATTTTTGTAAAATTCTAAACCTAATGTTATATATAAATACGTATTCTTTTTGTGCTATTTTTGAAATTTCTTGTTACGTTTGGCTCGTTTTGACATCTCATTACTAATTTAGCTGTTATAGTTTTTGAATAATATTTTAGCTAGGGTATTAAATTTGCATTGACATGTCGATATTTTCATTTACATTTCTATATAATCATAGTTCAATATTGACATAAGAACATATAAGGGATTGTACTCCAAAAAAAAATAATAAATAAATAATATAAGGGGTGAACCGATATTAGTAATACCATAAAAGAATTTGACAAAATAGTACTAATATTGATATAATTTAATATTGGTAAATTTTAATTTAAAAAGAGTGTTTTTTTTAATAAGTTTTTTAAAATATCTATCAACACCAACATTTTCACAAAATTGAGATGTCGGTGTTTTGATCGACATTAACATTTAAAACTTTGACTTAAATATTTGTCTATAGTCGATAACTATTAAATTTTTTATTTTTTTTACAATAAATACATAAAAACAATTTTTAAAAAAATCCAAAAGATGTACGCGCTAGATATTGTTCATAGTAACTTCTTAGTTGGAGGTATATGTCAATTACCAAGTGAGGTGCTAGAAGTTTTAATTTAATCGCACTAAATGAAAAAAAAATTAATTTAATTACCACAAAAAAATATAATAAAAAATAAATAATGAAAATTGAAAATTATGAATGCTAAATGCTTAAATACTCATTTTAGTTCCTATTTATTTCAATTTAAAAATAAATAATGTTAAATCCTTTTATTTTTAGAAGTTGTAGTTCTAATTCCCCTTTCCAAAATTTCAACACAAATTTTAAGGAGTTTTTTAATAAAATATAATTACTATGTTTCACAAATTTTATTGGGTGTAGTGTTGTACTACAATTTTAATAAAAAAAAAAGATATATAGTCTTAAATAGTATTTAAACCAAAATAAAATAAATACCATCATTAGAATTTATGGACTAAATTTATAGTTTAAGCTGTCTAATATGATTTCTGAAGTTTATTAACTCTATTTTAAAGATTGAAAATGAGGAAGAAAAAGAAAAAAGTATTTTAGCTCTCAATCGATGCCCTTCTACAGAAATCCATAGGATAAATTTGTGATCTGATATGATGATTCTTGGGAGTTGCAATTGATTCTCTCCCAAGATTTCAAATATTGACATCTATTTCAACTTTATGAAAATATAAATACAATTTTTTTAAATAGTATTATTAAAATTATATGCATATTTGTGATATTTTGTTAATATTTTTTCACACTTCATCAATTTGTGTGATATAAAAAAAATTATCAGAATTAGGTCTACGTTAATGATATTTATTTTGTCAATATCTTTTGACGTTTGATCAATTTGTATATGTATGAAAATGTCAAATTTTTATGTTGAGTTAGAACATACGAGAAATGTTGATAGAAATGCGTTGACGAAAATGTTAATTTCCGTCGAAGTCCTCTTCCTCACCATTGAGGAGCTTGATTAGCAGGGGAGTCTAATTTCATATGTGAAATTTAATTTTTAATTTTAATTTTAATTACTTTGATTAAAACATAGTTTTTTTTGGTAAATTTGATTATTGTAATATATTAATTAATGAAATACTAAGTAAATTATTTTACCCTTTAAAAGAAAGTTAATTGAATAGTTGATCACTAAGCTGTCGTGGTGTAGTTGGTTATTACGTCGGTCTAACACGCTGAAGGTCTAAAGTCTCTAGTTCAAGTTTGTATTTATAGTTTTTTTGAATTAAAATATCGTCCATTTGTTTAATAGTTTATCTTTTTAATAAAATAAATCTAAAATTAGATATATGATCGATAATGGTCAATTTATTAAAATGTCTCGCATTTATAGTTTTTTTGAATTAAAATTTTAATATCTATAGTTTGAGCATAGTTTCAATTTGGTCCCTATAATTTAAAATTTTTATTTTAATCTTTATACTTTGGACTTTATTACAATTTGGTCTCTATAATTTTATTAGTTTTAAATTGGTCCTATGATTTTAAAAGTTTCAATTTGGTCACTATGATTTAGCCTAACTTCACAAAACGTCTTTGTTGATAGATGATCAATAGTTGTCAATTTATTAAAATGTCTCATATTTATAGTTTTTTTAATTACAATTTTAATATATATAATTTGGATCTAGTTTCAATTTGGTCCCTATAATTTAAATTTTTTATTTTAATTTTTATACTTTGGACTTTATTACAATTTGGTCCCTGTAATTTTAAAAGTTTTAAATTGGTACCTATGATTTTAAAAGTTTCAATTTGGTCACTATGATTTTTAGTCTAGGATCACAAAACATCTTTGTCGATACCAAATTGACATATTTTTTTTACATGACACGTGCTGATATTTTCCATTTAACTAACCATTTTAGCTTTATTAATGTTTAAGGTTGAGTAAAAAATATAAGAAAATAAGTGAGTTTTTCGGGTACCTAAAAAACAAATCAAGGACGATTTATGAGGTTTAACTAAACCATAAGAACCAAATGAAAACTCTTTAAGACTATAGGGACCAAATTGAGATTATAACGGGGACCAAATTTGTAATTTAACATTTTTTGAGACTATTACGATTCAACTATGTTCAAATGGGCCATAATTACAATACTTTTAATTACTAGAAATTTATTTTTCAATTTGACATGTGTAGAGGCATACTATGGTTGTAGAAACTAGGTCAAAATACATACTTTTTTTTAGAATATAACATTATAAATATGGAACCATCCTTGATTTATATAGTTGGTTTCAACCTCTACTTCTGTCCCTGACTTTCCAACGTTTTTAATTTTGCCCTAAAATTGTTCTTCATGAATTATAATTATTTATCGTGCGAGTATTTTATATAAGTATTTTATGCATTACAAATTACAGAAAGAAATTAAATAAGAAAAAAAAATCAGAAGCCTAGCCACTTTAATTATGTTATTGATTAATCCATTTTTATGAGCTAGTCAAAAGAGAAAAAAAAAGAAGGCGTTTTTTATTCAATCATGTTGCTTTTTATCATTAAGTTAGAATTGGTATACCAAGCTAAACCTTTTTTTATCACTTTATTTTTTAAAAAGCAAAAGTTGCCATTATGATGATTGATGATTCCTCTCAATAAGACTAAAATTTGAATTAATTAATATACTAACTATCGTAATTTTTAATTATTGCCTATTTATTATTGTTTTATCTTTTAAAAAAATATTGTGCTTTTTTTTTTAATAAATAGATTTGAAACATAATAAAAACATATTTGAGGAGAGCACATAGGTAGTTGCATTCATGTCAATAGGTTGCCACATTGGATACCTTGTTCTATGTGATAATAATTTCTTAAAGATTAATATTTGAAGGCAGTGCTTATTTAAAAAAAAAAAATTAATCAATGGTTGTCTGGTATGAAAATATTGTTTGGCAAGATAATTTTTTAAAATAGCAAACAAATATTATAATAAAAAATATAATATAATATTTCATTTATTTTTAATGAAATCAAATTCAATTATACCACACAAAACAGATTATTCCTACAAATAAATAGTTCTTATCTTAGGATCTTATTTTCACCCAATGTTCCTTTTTTCATTGTTAAAGGGTTTTATTAATATTACATCATAAATATTAAAGTGAGAATCCATAGGTTGGAATTCAAATAAAAATAAAATAAAATAAAGCACTATATTTTGTCTTAAAATTTTAAATAGTATATATATAGTTCATGTTCTCAACACTATTACAACTAATGTGATATGTGTGTCAAAAAAAAACTAATATGACATATCCATTAAATAAATTATAGTTAAATAAAAATTGATGTAACGAGACAAAATAAAGAATTAAATATTAATTGGAATGCAAATCTAAACATAGTTCAATCGGTTAAAGTATATATACTCGAACTTCCTACCTTTACATATATATATATATATTTTTTACCATCTACCCTAACATGTTGTTGACTAAAAATAAAACAAAACATAATACATATAGAAAAATGAGCCTATGGTCTCATGTCAACATTTTTCATTAACGACGTTAACGATAAATACGAAGTAGAAACGTGCTCTAAAATTAAGAAATTTAAAAAAATAGACACACTATTCTAAATTATAACTCACTCTTGCAAAAATTAACAATTTTTTGGTAGTACATACCTTAATTAATTAATTAATTATTATTATTATTAATTTTAATTTGATTCCAATTCAATTAATTTAGACCTTAATAATTTTTTGATGCTCTAGTGTTGAAAGCATAATAAGCCTTATTTGTAATATTATATTAATTAAAAAATATTTTTTCTTTTCTGGGCAAGTGAAAGTACAAGGTTTATTATTTACCTGAAGAGAAAATTCAATTATTACTCCTATACTTGACTAATAAGACAATAGATAAATTCTAACTTTAAATTTCCAATTTTATTAAGTTATATCTTAAACTTAAACCAGTAATACAGCCAATATTCTCAATTTTTGAAAATATTAGTGACAATAGGCAGAAAAGAGAAGATAAATAAATAATAAAACCATTGTTTTATATTATCAAAGATATTTTACAAGTCCTAAATATGGATCTCAATAATCACTTGTGAAAAAAATGATTTTATTAAAAAAAATATTTAAATTAACAGATAAATATTTACTTTTTTAATAAGCTACAAATTTTTATC